ATAATGTTTCTTGGCTCTGCACAGTGCATACAGGAGGTAAATAATCCATGCCATCCACAAAGGTGAAACAGAAAGCCCCACTGGTGCACAGGCCCCACTCTTGGACCCGTGTGAAGGACAGTGAGAGCCTGACCGTCTCTCCTGCATCCCGCTCTCCAAAGAACCGTGGATTGCAACTGTACCTGGTCCTAGCTCAGCTCTGTGAGGTGAGGGAAGACTTCTTGTTCACCTCGTCTCGATCTGCAAGGAACGACCAACAACCCCGCTTCTACAACGAAACAAAAATACTTGTCCAAATGATTTTTACCTTCCCTTTTCAGCAGGGAATTGTATGTAGCTAATTTTGTAGCTAATCACACCTAATTTTGCAGAAGTTTTCTTTGTAAGTCTTCTATCCCGGTCATCCACGATGAAATCCAACCAGCACTTACAAACACCTCCATGTGATGGGATACCATAGGAATGGCAGCCTGACTCTCCTGTTCATCTCAGGGTATCACTAATTATTACTACAGCTCTTGAAGATCTTATTAACAGCAAACATCACTAAACTGAACTGTTCTTCTGTAGATTAATGTTTAATAAAGTTAAAACCTGTGTTTATATACCATAAATCCATCTCTCCTGTATGAAAGCTTATTGGGTCAGTAGTGAATAGTTTTAATACTCTGTTATTTTCCTATGATTTCCATTTCAGTCACTGAAACGTGGAATTGTCTCTCATTATGTGAATCATCATTGATGCTTAGGTTGAGACTAAATAGAGGCCTTTCTTCTCTTTCAACCTATGGCTTTTCTGAAGGAATTGATTGTTAAAACATGATAGACGTTTATTTAATTGCTTTCTGAGCAAATCCTAAGCCATACAACAGCATAGAGGTCAAGAAGAGAAAATCTTTGGGGTTTACTGACATTTCAGAACATTATCATTAGATGAGACCTTGAGTTAGCTAATGGTTGTTCTGCTTTCATGTATAATGACCTATTTCTTACAGAAGAGCTAATATCTATAAATTTTTCATTTGCTGCCTAGAGATTTCAATAAAAACTGAGAGATTTTAATTCAGTGTGTGTTTCATATATCAAATTATTACTGTAAAGATTTTTTTCAGCTGCTTAAAAATAGTCATATAACAAGAACGTGCCGCTTTTTTTTTACCTCCCTCAAAAAACAGGTTCTGCTGGATGAGAGATACTGTTTGGGCTATAAAGGCATCTTAGTTTTGTAATGTTTTTAGCTCTGCTCATTATTAGATGGATAACCCCGAAACCTGTAGCATTAAACATAATATTTTGTTGTCTGAGCCACTGTTACACCAGGGGATGAGTCCATATGCATGTATTACATATATCATCCCAGCTGTCAGAGGAGGGCTCTCATGTTTAAGTGATTTAAGATTATGGATTAGAGTCCACTTGCTTCCCCTTAAGTAATAATAATAAATATGGTGATGCTTTTAGTGTCATTGTTAATTCCTTATTTGTGAACACTCAGAGAAAGGCTGAAGCACTGTGGTTTGAATACAGGATTTGAAGATGAGCTATTCCTAAGGAGAACAGGGAAGCCAAAATTGTGTGCTTAAGGCATCATCACTTCAGTGTGGGAGAACAAGTCCTCTTCCACATACAAGGAAAACAGACTGGAGCTTTAAAACAAAGTTATGTTCAGGCCAGCTTGCTCTCACAAGCAGCAAGGACCAGATCTTCATTAAACTTCCTCCATGCTACCTTCCACTTTGCCTTCAGTTCCCCTCTCATCCTTACCAGTTTAAGCCAAGATCTTCTTTGGGACTACACACTGAATGTGTCATTCAATAACAGATATTCGAGCTCTGATGCCACAAATCTACACATATTAAGTGGTAGTAATATGTGTAGTGGTAGTAATTCCAATCAAGTTATTAACTTCTGTTTTAATTTCAAGCATATGAATTTAAAATCTTTAATTATCAAACACATGCACATGTGTTTATTTTTACTCCATCAAATTTCTAGGATTGTTCATCACCATAGGAACCTACTGTAACACTCATAAGAAATTTCATTCTTTGTTAGTATATTAATCTTCTTGTTCTTTGAATTTGGATTTTGAAACAAAGCCATTTCAACATGCTGACTGACTGAATGAAATGTATTACAAATTTGTGGCAAATGATATTGCAAAACACATTCCAGTGTGACAATGTAGATATATTTGGAACAGTTTAGGATGTAATACTGTATATTAGGTTTAAAAACATCCTTGGATGATGACAACTGTCTGAACTGTCTGATTGAAATGGAAAAGTTGATAAATTCCTCACTAATTATCATGTGTTATGAGCACACGTGTTTTGCAAGATAATAGGAAGCTTATCGAAAAGTTAATAAAAATTAAAGAGAATAGGATATCATATGATACAAAGATATCTTAGACAGCAGACTGGTCAGAATCTCATTATTTGAGCTTTGAAAACTAGACTGGAAGAAACCTCTAAGGTCATAACCAGGCTGTCAGACAAAGCAATGCAAAGAAGCAATTTAAGACCTTGGGCAGTAATCCTTGATTCCAACCTACATTGGAGCACTACCTGCATTTAGCAGGTCAGTTGCAGGTGCAATGTAGTCGTATTAGCCCCACTGTGTCTGCAGTAACAAATCTGACTTGACTCTCTGTGCCTTGAAGGTCCCTACAGCGTGCTCCCATCCACTTGCTGTTCTACGGTTAGTATAGATGAATTCAGTTTAAATGCAGAGGGTCTTAAAACAGGGCTTGAAGGTGTAATGAAGGAACTAAGGCAAGAGAAACAATCCACTCTACATGACTAGTCTCTGGGACTGTACCTCTGTTTCCATCATTTCTCAGTTGGGATTTACAACATTTTCTCATTTGTTTTGGCAAAGCACATTATAACACCTTCCTGAGTGAAGATAAAGGTAGGAAAGATGCCTGGCTACAACACATCTTTCCACCCTTTTGCTAAAACAAATCCTGACCTTGGCTAAGGTCCTGCAGCTGAAAGCAAACTCCCTGATCCCTACACTCATACAGACCCAGGGATGCTCAGTGAGGACACTACAGGTCGCTGGTGCTGTTGCTTTTGCAGACTTGCAGGCTGTAAGGGATACAAAACACCAATATATTCAAACCAGTGCTCAAGTTCTTACGTTTATCTTGCCTCTGTTCTTCTGCAACATGGGCTTTTCTGGGAAGTTTGATCAGATGCAACTACTGATTCCAGATGCAGAGGTTCCTGAAATCCTTCCACTTTTTTAAACAGGTTTTGGATCCAGGGCTAAGTTTAGGCAAGTCTTTACCAAGGAAAAATTTTTAAAAACCTAAGTCACAGATTTTACAGCCATATTAATTATCTAGCTAAGCAGTCGCCACTATCTTACAGACCAGAGAACACTGCTTACCATGAGTCGAAGATTATGGCTCTAACTGCATTTTTATAATCTATAAAACCGGACATGCGGAAACTATGGAAGGAAATTTCAGTAATTAAAGCATAGGTTCTCCTAATTAACTGCAAAGCATCATTAAAATCTAATGAAACTGTAGTAGAATAATACAGGAGTCTGGCTTAACTGCAAGGAGATAAATGCAAATGAAAGTTGAATTTTCACATGGTTGTGAGTTTACACAATAGGACTGAATGCATTTACAGTGATTTACAATATAAGAGCTCACTTTTAACACTGTATGAATCAGCATTGGGAAGTTAGGGTATTAGTGTATAAAAAGTTAACATATTAAAGAATGTGACATACTGAAGCATAAGAATCAAAGAAATCAAAATCCTTATTACTTAAAATAGTTGTATTTGTCATGGTAAACCAAATTCACAGCCGATGATTAATAAGATAACTGCTGTTGCATGATCCAAGATTAAATTTTTCAGTGTAGAGACTTCATCTTGGCATATCTGAACTAGCAGCATCATCATTCGATATTACGCAATAGATTCAACTGAAGCAAAAACTTCAAAGCTCTGCAATCACTAGACATTTTAAGATATTAATCTGCTACGATGCTCCCTTACCCTCCGTTGGACACTTGCCTTTGAAGTTCTCAGGAGGGAAATCTTCATGGAAACTGGTGCTTGAATGCCTAATTTTAGCTGATGTTTATAGATCCACAGAGGCCACAAAAGCATTCCTGACCTCCACTGACCAAAAATCAATACCTAAAACTCTTCTATCTCACCTACATTCAAGGTATTGCAGGTGAAAACCCTTCCCTGTTACATCAGGTCTCTAAAATATCCAAGGCTAGAGAGACTCATTACACATGTAATGGACAAACAGAGGCCCTGAGGACGATTCACTTGTTCTGTCGTGGCACACAATGACTCATTCTCTGAAGACAACCTTCTCCTTTAACCAGCTTTTGAAGAAACCTAAATTATCAGTCCTTTCTGAGGGCTAAAGTCCTGTAGAACTTATATCTTGCATGGCTGAGTAGAATGTAGTTCCACATTTTTTGTATCTCCCTACCAAAGGCCTTAAGTTTTAGCTGAGAGATTTTAGCTCAAAGAGATCAATCTCTATTGCCATTACATCCTATACTAATTACGCTGATGGCTATGTCGATGTCCTGGGCATCAGAAAAAGGTCCAAACCAATGAAACTCATTTCACTGCAACTCACAGATGCCAATACTTTTCAGAATAATACTGGTGTAGGTTAGACACAAAATTATGTTCTCGAAGTAATTTAAAGACCAATTTCCTGTTGATTTCAATAGATAAGTACAATAAAATCATTTAGTATTTAGGCAAAGACTGGAAAGCGGAAAACATTTACCATAATGAAAAATAAAGGCATATTTCCAAAGCAGCAAAACAGTCCTTTTTTAAAACATCCAGGGTTTGATCCAAACATAACCATAATAATGGAGTAGCATGCAGTTAAGGATTTGTTAGTAAGTTATATGCTGTTACACAGTTCTGTTTCTAAGAAAGTACACAACGGAAACAAACTCTTGCTATCTAAATTGTTACCTCATGTACTCATACCTTCTCTGTGTCAATTCCTTTAGACATGGACCAGGTTGAGACAATATAATCCATGACTCTTTCACTAAGGCCTTTTGGGACTTGATATAATTTTAGGAAATCCCTCACGTTGTTCAGCATCTCATGGTATCGGTTGGTGTTGGCATACATTTGCTGGAAAATGGTGGTGACATTTCCAAAAATAGTTGCATAAAGAAGAGCTGAAAAAAAAAACCAAAGGTAATTAAAAATAAGCATGTATGCTCCAGTAAATGCTCCTCATAATTCAGGCATAACTTCAAATAATTTTATGTATGGTTACAAATTACTGAAAATGCATTGGTGTAAACTGAAAATTTCTGTTTTATGCATACACTGTCACACACATATATGTACAGTTATATATTGAATTTAACCATACAACTCATACAGCCACTCCATCTGCATTAATTTACAAAATCAGTCACACAGATAATGTCCACACACGTAGTTGTTTAAAAATAGTCGGTGCATTTTAACTTTATACCTTATACTAATCCAAACTAATTTTCAAATGTAGCTTCAGCCTGCCAGTACACCTTGAAGGCACTATCCAAAGAATCATGTGAATCTCCTGCAAGATCGGCTCAGCTAGCACGTGCTATGAATAGAGAATACCCTCAGTCCCAAAGAAGAAATGAAATGGAGAAGAAAGGAACCTGGGAAACCTGGCAAGGAGATATCTATACAACTTGGGTCGTGTGTCAATGGCCAAGGTGTGCACAAGAAAGATTCAGAGTGGCATTTCATAGTCCCATTTCACAGACAGCCCCAGAAGATGATTTGGGTATTTCATGTCAACTCTAGATGCCAGTCACTAATGATTCCAAAGAAAAAAACAATAGAAAGTCACAAGTTTACCTCACTGCTGAGGACATATCACTAGATGGACAGTGTACAGAAGGAAACACTACATCAAACTCACTCCTTAAGTTGCCTTCTCTTCTGGTTTAATTCTTCTCTTTCCAAACACACCACCATTACTGTCAAGCTCAGCCAGCTGAGTTGCACAACACCAAAGAATGACATGGCTTATTCAAGAAAATCACATTTTAAGTAAGCCTTTCCAACTGAAAAGCCATCAACCTCAGTATACTACTACAAGTGTGATGCAATGAACACTATTTGATTGAGAACAGTTAGCTTCTAAAGCCTAAATTCAGCAAAGTTTAAATTTTTGCTTAAATGCACACTTTTCCTAGTGCTGTCTTGAATAGTGGTGGATTGAAAGACATTCTTAAAGCCAAGCAAGTCTAAGGTTCCTTATTGAGTCACAATGCGATTACTTTTGCAAGCAAGCCCAAAATTACATTCTTCCATTACACACTACAGATTTTGCAGAAAAGAGAATTATTCTGATATTTCATAACACCAATGTGTGGCACTTTACTTCCGCTCTTGACATTATCAAATACACAGAAATGTGGCTGTCATTTTTAATTATCTTTGCTTGGAGGTACTTTATAGAAGAATGCAGCTATGCATTTCCATATTGCTTTTTTGAAAAACAACTGTAGCCTACAAATGGCAAGAAATAACCTACAGTGAAAAGAAAAATGCTTTCCATCTCTGAGTGCACAACATCTTCCCTCTACACAACACATTTCTCCCTCATTCCAGAAAATTCGCTTTGCTTCACTCATTTACTGTTGTTTATCACCCCTATTTTAGAGCTGACATTTTTAAAGGAACCTGGTGCTTTCCTAAAACCTGTCTAATAGAAAAAAATTATTTCCATTTCTCACAGCACTTTTTACTATGTCCATGTAAAAATTAGATGCTGAAGTCCATCAGAAATACAATGTTTGTTGTTTCATCAAAGTCTTGGGATTTTTCATCTCAACACACAAGATCATATCAAACAAGGTCACACAATGTGTAGCAAAGATGAACATGGGGTTTCTGTTTCAGAAAACACAGCAGATTAACACTCTATGTGGTGTCCAGAAATAAAGCTCTTTGCAAGGGTATGTTTTTTTTTCTTTGCTTTACTGATTGTTGTATCATATCTGCTAGCTACTGAAAGGTTTTCTCTACCTCTGTACCCGTTCAGATATGTACTTCTTCACAGAAAGGGTTGTCAAGCATTGGAATAGGCTACCGAGGGAAGTGGTTGAGTCATGATCCCTGAAGGTATTGAAAAGATGTGTCACTTAGGACCTGGTTGGTGGTGGACCAAGTGGTGGACGTGGCCGTGTTGGGTTTACGACTGAATTCAGTCTTAAAGGTCTTTTCACAGAATCATGGAATCATTTGGTTGGAAAAACCTTTGAGATCATCGCATCCAACCATACCTATCGACTACTAAACCATATCTCTGAGCAGCTCGCGTCTACCCGTCTTTTAAATACCTCCAGGGATAGTGACTCAACCACCTCCCTAGGTAGGCCATTCCAGTGCCTGATAATCCTTTCAGTGAAGAATTTTTTCCTGATATCCAATCTGAACCTCCCTTGGCGCAACTTGAGGTCATTTCATCTTCTTCTTTCACTAGTTACTTGGGAGAAAATATACACACTCGCCTCACTACATCCTCCTTTCATGTAGTTGTAGACAGTGATAAGGTCCCCCTCAGCCTCTTTTTCTTTAGGTTAAACAACCCCAGCTTCCTCAGCCACCCCTCAGAAGATTTGTTCTCCAGCCCCATCACCTGCTTCATTGCCATTCTCTGGACACACTCCACTGCCTCAATGTCCTTCTTGTAATGAGGGGCTCAAAACTGAACACAGTACTGAAGGTGCAGCCTCACCAATGCTGAGTACAGGGGAAGGATGGTCCTGCTGACCACACTGTTTCTGATACAGGCCAGGATGCTATTTGGCTTCTTGGCCACCTGTACACACTGCTGGCTCATATTCAGCTGTCTGTCAACCAAATTTCCAACCTAAATGATTCTATGATTCTATATCAACACCACTCAGAGTATAAGAGTATGTGGATTACAAAAAAAGTCCATACAGATGAATGCCACCCAACTTTTTTGGGTTTTTTTGGTTTGGTTTTTTTGTTGTTTTTTTTTCAGCATTCACAACTCTTTTGGACTTCTGTAGTAGGATAAACATGATAAAGTGTCATTTATTCTAAGTGCAACATTCTCCAGAGTTCTGAAGGATGCTTATTTATCATTAACTCAGCTCATCAGATATGTGAGTGCAGAATAAATATCTCGTCTTGCATCTTCAGATACATCTGAAAATGACTGTGTCTTTAAATGCAAAAAGAAGTCATAACTGTCCCTGCAGCCCTGTCTTTCTGCATGAGTAAAACTTATGCAAGCCTGTAGCTACAGCTAGACTGCATATGCAATTACAATGCATTCAACCCTACACAGAAGACACAGGTTGATTGAAAATGTGACACAGTGCCCTGTAAGTTTGGGAGAAAAGAGACTCAACTCTGACACCTGCCAGGCTGGAAAGAAGCTAAGAATGCCATGGTGAAAGCAGTTTGTCTGAAGCTACTGGCACGTTACCTTCTCTGCAAAAAAATTACTCTTTGGCAAAAACAATTTATAGCAAATATACAGTCAGAAGAGAAATTCTTGTTCTGTGTCTCTTAATATAGGGTCCTGGAAAGTTGTACTTAAAAAGAGTATGTTGGTTCAAGAAATTAGGGATAGAATAAATCATTGGATCAAGCCTACAAAATTGCTGGAAACATTACCCAGTAGTACCTCACTAAGCCAGAATTCACAAGCCTACATGCTGTAGAGTCTGCATAAATGAAACCAGCACTATCCTCTGTTGGAAATCAAAGCCTTCCTTTGCCTCCTATTGGAAATGGTAAAGACACATGGTTGAATTCATCTAAATATTCCACTTTTCTCACAAGTTACTGCATGGAGATCCTTTGGCAAACATTTAAAAGGAACCTACTTACAACTTCACAGCTTTGAAGCTCTGCCTCAAAGACTCTCCTCACTTGTGGTGCGTCCCTATGCCAACACTGGTAGCTGCTGAAACCAGTTAGTTGTTTTTTTGGGGGAGAGTATATTTTTCATAATTTGGCAGGGAAAATCCACCTCTCTCTGTAAATCAGCTCCCCATTCCTATTCTCTATATGATACCTAAAAAAGGGGGTCCTTTAAAAAAAAGCTGATATTTATTGTTTTGCAGGTCTTGGCATGCAACAAAACAAGTTTGTGCTGATAAGGAAATAATAAATATATATATAAAATCATTCGCATTGCATTTGTTACACTCATTGTGACAGTCCTCTAGAGGGAAAGGGTCCTCTGCTTGGAGGGTCTACTGAGAAGAGCTTAGTCAGGCAGCTAAATACAAGTTACCTGCCTTTCCTTTTCCTCACCCAGCTTTAGGTCGAGGTAATTGCATTAGCTGCAAATATGACAGAGATGGGACAGAAGGTGAGGTGAGATGTCAGCTCAGGAAGCCAACAACCTCCAGAGCCCATTGGATCCCCTATGCCCAGATGCACATGTGAAGGCACATCCACACACACAGACATGCTGGTGAGCATCTAACGCTGCTCTTGCCTCTCTCAGTCTTTAAAGGTTTAAGACTCTTCATGAATGATCATTATTGCCTGTATTTAGCAAACAAAGACTTCTCAGAGCATCCCTATTTACTGAGCAAACACTGAAGCGCCAAGTGGGAACCTTCTCCCTCACTTTTGAAAAACCAAAGGCAGAGGAATACAACCGAAGGCATTTCACTTTTGCTATATTTTAACTATTTTTGGCAAGGGGAATTGGCAGTAAAGATCATTTGCAAAAGGTTCTGAAGGAAATAAAATACTATGCCTTTCCTGACAGTAAGAGGATTTAAACAATCTCTAAAGAAATCTCTAAAGGTATCTATACACTTCAATAGTTTAACTTTAGTCGCTCCGTTTATAAGAAATGGGAGAGATGGTGCTACAGAGGTTGAAGGTGAAATTACTTTACCCAATTCCTTGAAATGACCAGTTAGGTCAAACTGCATTTATTCACTTTCTCTGTAAAGCCTCACATTTCTCCAGACATTTCCTGTTATGTTTCTACACTCATGCAACGCTCATTTATTTAATTGTCCTGTGTGTCTAAATCTAGAACAGCCTTCACTAGATTTCATAGAGAATAATTTGATATAATGATGCAGAAATATTTTTTCTCAGTCCTAAAGGTGAGGTAGGTGGTTCAACTGTTATTTTAATTTCTATTTTTACTCTTCAGTGTTGAAAA